TTATAACAGTCGTAGAACAGTCGACCCAATTTTTTTTGGGTTTACGACTACTTATGTTCAACTTCGCAGCCTTGTAATTTTGAACACAATCCAGAAGACAAGGGAACTCCTAGTCAAGTATTGGGGGAAATTTTGCCTTCCTGGAGGACTTTTTGATGGATCTAACCCGCACATGCGTTACATAGTTTTATTTATGTACACAAAGATTCAACTTGATCCGAACAGCGAATAAATATTTTCAAGTGGTAGTTTATCAATTGTGGTTCTTGGTTTAATAAATTCTATTTAGTAGATTTTTATCCACCACAGCTTCTAAACAATTCGTAGGATTACATAATTCACCACTTTTTTCAAATATGTCATGCTAAACCCTTTAAAAAACCAGCAAAATCTGTTTAATATTTGCAAACTTAGTTTGTAGTTATTTACCGTTGTGGCCAGACGGGCAAGCCATGTAAAATTAGCGTGGCATTCAACTTGTTAATGTATATTTTTTTCTGATTAGAACTTTTTTTTAAAAAAATTTCCCAAAAATCATGTATTCTCGTTGTACCAGCAATAAAATTAAGTTTTAACGCAACAAAATAATTAAACTTAATTTCTTTTAACAAACGGTATAAACTTTTATTGAAAAGTGTAGAACTATTCACTTGACTGAAATATAATGAAATCTTTTTCTTATGATAAACAAGTGCAGTTTTTTTTAAATTTTTTTTTTCCTTTTTTATTCTTTTTTCCCCTCCAAATTCTATTGTTTTCGCTTAAGCAATTTCAAGTATAAAATTACTAAGATGATATGGTTATCATTCAAGTGCCTTTAAAATAATTAGTTTTGGATCTGCGGGGATTTTTGCTTCGTATATTTATTCAAATTTGACAAATATATTCACAAGTGTTTAAAATGCTTTTACAGTAGAAAATGTTATATTTTTTAATCTTTTTTTTTGCCATTCCAGATACATTTTTTTTCATCTTAGAAAAATAATTGCTATTTTGTATTCTTGGGGAATAATCAGTTTCTAATAATTTAAACAGACGTTTCGGAAATTTTAATTATCCAATGTAATGAGCTTCAAATATTTGCATATTTTCGTTTTTTTTTAAAACTGTGTTTGTGCTAGATTATGCTTTGTTCTTTTGCCTACTTACAAAAACTAGAATTTTGTTTTTAGTACATTTTTAAAAATTTTAAATTACTCATGGAGTTACTCAGAGTACATTTTTTAGGTTTAGTCGATTGATCGTAAGTTTAATTAAAAAAAAACATTAAGCTAACCTTTCAACGCAACCGTATTCGTGAATTTTATTGTCAATTATTTATTTAAGCATAGGACACAAATATACTGTAAAAGTTCCTCTTCATTTGCTATATCAATTTTCTTAGATGTAATTTGCTAAATTAATTATTTGAAATTTTTTTGTCGTACCACAATTAAAACTGAGGCTTTTAGTTCTAAAATTTATGATCAATATTTTTATTTTTTATTTACTTTAACATAATATAAAATGATATTGAGTTTCTTTTCAACCACACTAATTTTGCACTTTTACATTGACATTTTTTAAAATTGAATTACTTTTTTTCAAACTAACTAATTACTTTCACTATTTCAATTATTTTATAAGAAATAAAAAATAAATAAAATAAACTGTTTTTGATATTTTTTCCCTTCTACTTTATTTCATATTTGCATAATGATGCATGCAACTATATTTCAGTGTTTTTAAACAAATAATAATAATGAAAAAACTTATCAAGCTATAAAAATAAATTTAAAAAAGTAATTTTGCGTACAGCCATCACTTCCAACATCAGAAAGTCTATTCACGGTTTTTTATAAGTAGTCTGAGCAGACTATTTAAAAATAATTATAAATATTCATAAGTGGTAGTTATCTTAGCATCAGCCCAGCGAGGGGCTCTGACTAATTCATCTGAGTGGGAATGTATAATAAACCGCCGAAGTGCAATTGTATGGTGAAAGTTGGGGTCCAGTAATATTTATTGAGAGAAAATTAAAATAAAGTAGCGAGATTAAACAAACAAATTTTAGAGAGAGAAGAGGTTTTTGTGGCAGACTGCCCCCCCCCCCCCCAAGGTATTACGCCCGAGCTTTGCAGGTACACAGTAGCCACATAGCCTCAGAGAAATAGGAAAAATACATGATAATAAATTCGCATGATAATAAATGCGCAAGTATTTACAACTATTTACAAAATTCACGGGACAATACCCCATCTAACAGGAAAAAAAGCGGGCTACATTTCATATTGTCTTTGATGAGCATAGATCAAAGTTTTTAAAGTAGTTGCACGTATCACAAAAGAGTGCATCTCTGAAGAAATTTGCACATAGTTCAAGTATGTTGAACACATAGCTGAACTATCTGCAATTTTCTTCTCTATTTTGTTGATTTTTAAATCTTTTCTTAGATCTTTCATTGTCATGGATCTGGGGGCTCCTAATTATGAGTACTTGAGAGAAATTTATCATATATATGAATGAGAATTGAATTTGTAGTGGTTGAGTAGTAAATAAGACAAACCAATTATATTCATAAATTTAAAAACAATTTAGATATATATTTGCTACCACTTTCTTAGTTTTACTATATTTTGTAATAAATGGCTCTTTCGTAAACTAGTTAGCCTTCATAGTGGTCAGATCGGAGTACTTATAAGAAACCGTGGGGAGGCTTTCAATTTTAGGAGGCGTTGGTACAGCCCAGATATTATAAATGAAAATTTCCAAAACTGTTATGTTGGTTTAGAAATTTGGGCAAATATCCACAACGAAAGAAGTAGTTAACTAAAATGTTGCTTTGATTTAAAAGAACGCGTCAATTAGGAAGTAATTAAAGGAAATCCATAAACTTTATAATGCTTTGAAACAAAACTAGTTATGAAAATTTCTAATAAATTTATTCACTTCCTTCTCGTACAATTTTTTATTTTTGACATTATCGCTTGAGCTATGGTTAGTAGTCGTTCAATATAGCTGGTTTTGAATTTGTCATGATTTCATTCGTAACTTTGTCACCTTGAATTAATTTACAAGGAATGTCTTTATATTGAAGAAAAATTTGAAAAATAACTAACATTGATAATTAAGTAAAATATTAAGCATTTAATAAACAAACCATACTTGAGAATAAGTCATTGTCTTGATTGCTAGTTGACGTCAAAAAAATTTAAGTTCTGAGATTTATAAATATTTTTCTTAGAGATTCTAATTTAGAGAAATGTCTTTACAGCCTTAATCGAAATGATTTGTATAATAAATTATTTTTCATAACAAACTACATTTGCTTTCAACAATTGTATGTGTAAAAAATAAGCTTTTAGGAGAAAAATCTAGAAACATATGCAAAAATAACTGTACTGTTCTGGAATTTGAAGAGAATTGTAGACCTGATCAAAACGAGCATATAATTGAGAGCTCATCAAACATTAACAAAGGAATGAAAGTAATATTTAAAAAGTGTTAGAGTTTATTTATAGCATTTCAAACATATCATTAATTTATACATTCAAAAAACTGAAAAGTTAGAAAGTGTAAGTGTTTATTCGTCGCGTTTCAAACATACCTTTATGTAATGCATTAAAAAAAGAATAAATGTTAGAGTTTATTTATCGCATTTCAAAATTTCTATTTATACATTCAAAAAATTGCAAATACTCTGATAGACATTTGAAAGTAATGTAATGAATGCTCAATTGTATTGTCAAAGCCGTAATGAATGATCAATTGTATTGTCAAAGTCGTAATGAATGATCAATTGTATTGTCAAAGTCGTAATGAATGCTCAATTGTATTGTCAAAGTCGTAATGAATTATTGTGAATTTACGTGCTTGAAATTATTCTGATGCTTTCAAAAAAAAAAAAAAAAAAAAAAAAAAAAAAAAANAAAAAGAAAAAAAAAAAAGAGAAAGTCTATCTAATTTAGATCACATGAAGTATAATCTTACATAATCTCCAATAAAATGTTTTTGTTTTTAATATACGTTTTACTTTATTTTGTTTCAGATAACCATTTATATTAACTTCAAACTTACGTTTTTTCTTTAACATATGACTTTTCTTTAGCATTTGACTTGCATACGTATTTACAAACTAACAAGATATATCTTAATCTATCAAATTTAAGCTATGTAATGTAATTCAATTTAAAAAAAAATCGTATTTTATATAAATCTTTAATCAATCTAAACGTTCAATGAATAAATGAAATAAAATCATGGATTTCATTTTATTTTATAATCTTTATTTTTAATTATTCGACATTTGACTTGCATACGTATTTACAAACTAACAAGATATATCTTAATCTATCAAAATTAAGCCATGTAATGTAATTCAATTTAAAAAAAATATCGTATTTTATATAAATCTTTAATCAATCTAAACGTTCTATAAATAAATGAAATAAAATCATCGATTTCATTTTATTTTATAATGTTTATTTTCAATTATTCGTTAAGAACTCATTTGATTATGAACAAACATGCAATCTGTGTTAATATTTATTGAGTATTAAATTTTTAAGACATGTGGAATAAATCTAAATTAATGTTATTAAAATGTCCTTTTACTGCTACGGTTTTAATTGCATATCTAATTTAGATAATTTTAGAGTTAGAGCCTTTTATCTCCAAATGTCCAAAAAATTCCTTCAACTGCTATCCACTGTGAAAACAAACAGTTTAAAACACATCATAGAAGATAGCACTCTAGAATGATTAATGAATCAACAGTAAATATTTATTCTTATACAAGCGCGATAATTTTTTTTTAATGTGACTTCTAATTTCAAATATACGAAGATTATATTAGGCATAGTAAAATTAAATTGTTAAATTCTTTATGAAACCTCTGTAAGTTCAACAACATGCATTTGTGATTCAGACAATATTTAGGGAAACAGTCATGTGCATCTGTTTAACCATGGGAGGTAAAAGATAATTATTCTAGATCAATCTTAGGATGACCTTCAAGAAGCCTCAACAAAGATAACCTTAGATTTACGTGACGGTACACGTGTCCTTAACAAGGACACTCACCAATGGTCAAGAACTAGTACTATATATAAGGGGTAAGGAAGCAAATTTTTATTATTCTCAAGATCGAACATAACCTGCCTTATCTTCGGCTCAAAGTAAGCCTGGTTTTTTTTATTTTTTTTTATTTAGATTGGTTGTAAGAAATGGGTTTGTCTAGCTAGATAAATGAAATTAGTTAAATTATATTAATATGAGATGACTGCTAATTAGTAGATTTTTCTGTAAATTAAAAATTATTATTCGAGAAAATGTTATTAACTTTATTGTGCTTTCAATTATTTTTAGAGTTTTGGTTTAAAAAAAATATAAACTCATTACTGAAAAATATTATGTATTCTTATATTAAAAATGAAACTAGAAAAAAAGTAAAAATTTTATCTGTATCAAAGAAACTCTAAAGAAATTTTAAAAAAAATTCAAAGTATTTTCTTTATTATATTGTTTTGAACAGTTTTATTAAATGGCTTTTCTATGCATTTTAATTAAAAAGAAAGACGAGAATAATCAGATTATTCAAATCTCAGACAAGTTAGTATCAACCAGAATGTATATTAAGAATCTTTTGAGTGATTTAATTATATTTACTCTCGTTTTAGTGTTTGTAAATATTATAGAGAATAATAAATAATTGATAAGTTTTTATTAAGAATAATAGCTATAAGTAAGATCTTATAATTAGAGCAAAAATATGTATTAAGTAGTAGTATTATGTAATATTAAATATGTATGTAAGTAGTGAACAATTTGTCATATAGAAATTTTTTTTCTTCTTCAAACTAAACAAGTATTTTTTATAAAAAGAATAAAAGCAAGAGGAATATGAAAAAATGAAGCTATTTTTATCATTTTGACTTGTCAAACCTAATGGATTATTTAAGAAAATTTATAGTAAACAAGAACTATTAGGCTACTTATAGAACAATCACTGATAGTTTATACTGAAAGATGTATAATAATTTAAAGAAACCTATTGCGCAAAGGAGCGAGTGTTACCTTTATTTATAAAAAAAATAATCATAATTCATTTTTCGTCTTCGAAACTTACGAAATTGTATTATCTTTTACCATACAATTGCACAAGCCTTATTTAATAAATTTTAACGTCCTCTAATTTATAGATCAAAAACAATTACAACATTTAAATATAATATAAGCTAAAGAAAAAAATACATATTTGTAATTGAAACCATTTAAATTATTTTTTAATCAAAAGTTTCTGTAATCAAAACTTTTGCTATAAAATATTTTTTAAATCTTCAATATAATTCTGACATCTGAAAATCATTAACATCAGAAAATTCAATAAAATTTAATAAAATAAAATAAGAAAAAAAAACAAGGGATTTGTTTTGACTATTTAAATTATTTTTTTAATAAATTTTCTAATATTTATTAGACTCTCACTGACTGAAGTACAGAAAAACTTTTATTTTATTCTTAATAATCGTTAAAACCTAGTCAATTAATCATGATTCAACATTTATACTTACATTTGTGATTAATTGTTAAATATCTTATTAAAAATAGGTATTTATAAAGATCTTTCTTTGCAACAATGTTGAATTAAAGAAACTGCTACAAATATAAAATTTGTTTTTAATAATCATTACATTTTGTTCACATGATATAGTTTTTCAGTATTAGCAGTTTTATTTATATTTAATATTTCGAAATAGAATTTTGATTAAGTTAATAAAAACCTTACTGTAAATGTGAATTTAAAAACATTTTTAAAAATAATAGTGCAGCAGCTATTAAATATTTTCTTCTACAAATATTAGTTTTCTTCGAGCCTTTTTTATTTTGTATAGCTTTACATAGGATATATTGTTTTGTAACTTTCTGTTAAATCTTGTTAGATCATTTTAATTTTCCTTCAATGCCAATTCAATATTTGTGTATTTTAACTTATATTTAGTTCCTCAATAGCTTACAGCAAATTTTGAGCTTATAAAAGTCTTTAATAATAACAGTGTTATATTAGTAGAATATTTCCTGCTACAAATATTAGGTAGCAGCAACACTTTGTTATTTGTAACTTTTTTTTATTGACTGCATTGTTTCGTGGAATTTTGTTAGAATTTCATTGATTTATAGATACATATGTCAGGTAATAATTTTGTAGTCTTTAAGATTTTTAATAATATCGGTATTGCATTGATAGAGTGGTTTCTGCTTCAGACTTAACAAGGTGCAAGAATTTATAATTTCTATAGCTTTGTATTGAAAGTAATTAAGTATTTGTTGCATTTAAGGAGCAAACATTTTACTTTTAAAAATTTCCTTCTAGGACTAGATACATATATGTTTTAATGTATGATTCTTTGTTTTGTTATTTTCATTTGGAGTGATTTCTCATAGCACTATAAGTAAATGATTCAAAGCTTCTTATGAAACGCCTTCCAGCTCTCTCGTTTTGAAACTTTTGAAATGTTGGTAAAATTAACAAAACAGAACAAAAACAAAACTGTGCAATTTAGTTTTCAAATTTCAACAACCATACAAAATAACTTGGTAAAAACGTAGCAGTTAGCAGCCCTGCATTTACTTTGATCCGACATTGTCTCCTGAACTTGGATTACTTTGTCAAAGCTAAGTTTGGATAAGCAACAACGTCATGTGTGAATCATTTAAATCCCTGTTCTGTTATAAAGTTTAATGAAACACACGATTATAGAGATTTTGCTACACAGAGGCAGATCACGAAATTCAAATTTTCCTTTAGTAACCAGTAGCTGGTAAACTCTAATAACTTAGTAGCCACTTTTTCCTAAAACGCAATGAGTCAATGACCGATTTTTCATTTAAAAACCACTTTTTGAAAAAAAAAAAATTTTTTTTTTGCTTGGATTAAGTAAATTTTTTTGTTCTAAGAAAAATTCAGATTCGAAATAATCTACGGCTATGAAAATTCAATTCAACTATAGAAAAAATATAAATATGTTACAAAATTTAGTTAAATTTACTGAATTTTTTTGAACTTTTGTAAAAAATAATTGGAAAGGCAAAAATACATTTAATGTATACATCACAACTTAAATATATGAATTGTTCAATAACAATATTAATCTTTCTATCACAATCGTCCCATCACATCTACGATATGGATCTTTCCATCACAAATTGATGGATTCTGAAGAATCAATATTTTGAATAGAAAGTTTTGAATTCATTGGGCATTTTACGGTAAGCAAGTTATTTTACGGTAAGCAAAACTGCTTAGCAAAAATTTGAATTTGAATTGGTAGTTTTATTTAAATTAACAGAAAAAAAGAACTCTTCAGTGATAAACAGCTTTTAGCTATCAAATATACGGAAAAAGTCAGAAAAAATAACCGGAAATTATTTTCATCTCGTGAGTATCGATAGAAAAAAAATCTGTATTTATCTTCACACAGTTTTTTTCGGTAAAAAATATGTTTTTGTTTTCTGTAGATTTTACAGTTTCTTTTTTCTTTTTTTGTGTGTGTAGCTGTTAATAATTCTTTAGTTGTGAAAGACATTAAATCTAAGTCAAGTAATTCCAGTTTTTTACTTCCGTTTAAAATAATTAATTTCAACTCATGATGACTACATAACGTCTCCGAGAGTTCAACTCACTTACATTTTCTGTTGAATCTTGCACTTTTACCTATTACTTTTTAAAACTTAATTGGAGAGTAATGACAAACTTCCTCTAATTTATGAAGAAATTGGAGCAAATGCAATGACGAATTAATTCGTCATCGGCCTCTAACGCTGGGGTATGAAAAGACGAGATAACTCGTCACTGGTCAACGATGTGTCAACATAAAATCTTTTGAAGAATACGCAGTAAATGTTATTCATAAGAGGGATACATTACGGTACAGAGTAAAAAACGGCAGCTATGTATATTATTTTATTCGGATTAATAATTATAATTTTATTCGAAATATTCCTTTCAAATTAATCGGGAGTCTTACTCGACATCTAATCACTATTTTGCATTTTATATAAGCTCTAAATAACACTTCTTTCTTTTTTTTACAGAAAAACATGATGCGTCTACTTACAGCAGCAATTGTTTTGTTGGCATACACAGCTTCAATCAGCGGTCACACATGCCACGATAATGGTGAAACTTATTATCATGCTGATGTTAGCACAGGATGCCAGGTAGTAAAAATTTCTTTATAAAAAAAATTGACTAGATGTTTGGTCATTATTCAGAGCTACTTAAATCCAAATGCTTGAAGTTCATGATTTTAGTAGAGTTTGTTTCTAATAAGAAAGCAATTTATTTATCATTTTATTATATTTCCTATTATACCAAAAAATGAGTACCTTTTTAAGACTGGTTTCTTTTTCCTAAATTAAATCTTTATTCAGAAAAATAAGCTTTATTAATCACAGTATTGACCTTGAAACAGATTTTAACTTTTAAAATTCAGACTATTTTTTGAAGGCTTAAAACGATGATTTTCAGTTGTAACGGGTTTTGATCCGGAAAACAGAAATATCAGACAAATCTTTATTTTCATTTGAACCATTTTTGTAATTTTGAATCTATATTTATAATTTCTCACTTTAACTTAATTGAGCGTTGGCTTATAAGTCAAAGAACTTAATATTAATTTAGTATTTTTGGGGGGATTTTAAGGTGTTACCAATTTAACGTTCCATACCTGAAATATCGTACCTGAATACATTTGTAAGCAAACGGTGAATTCTGCGTAAAACAAACACACGATTAAAATTTTCTACAAAGATGATTGCTTAGCTGCATTTCGAAATATATTACAATTTGGTAAAGTTATCTCCTTTTTTAAATAATATGTATTAATTTTACTTATTTATTATTTGCTTAATTTTTATATTCTTAATGACTTAGCAACCATTAAGATAAAATAGTTTGTAATTTAGAGCTCTTAGAAGTCTCTTTTTGGTAAGGAAAAAAATTAAAATTAATCAATTTTAAATTGTTTTAACTTCGCTTTCTTTTAACAACATCACGGTAAGATCAAAGGGTGTAAATTTATTGTTAGAAAATTAGATGCCGTGGTGCCATTTAAATGTACTTCAATTCAGCCATTAATTGCAACAAGAGTGATGAAGTATTTCGACAACTGATGGTTTTGTACGTTAATTAGACTATTAAGAAGTTACTTTAATTTGTAATATAACTTATATTAAATAACTAAATAAATTGGGTGCCACATACAATTGTTCCCAAGCCTTGCAGTGTTTAGGGCAAATGAAAAAAAAAATACTTATGTAAAATTAAGAATTAATGTGTTATAAACATAAAAATGCAATTTGCATAACGTTAAATATGATAGAAATATTACAAAAATCCATAATATTACGTCATTTTCAAAGCTACTACTCTGTGTCACGCAGGTCGTTAATTTAAAATACAGCGGCCTATAACGATTCGCTTACTATGTAGGAGATTTCCTTCTTGGCTGTAGTTGGTAGCAATTATAACGCGAGCTTTCATTTATTTTAAAATTTTGTTAACAGAGCTAAAAAAAAGTCATTAATAAAGATTTTTTACTATTATTTAAGAAAATGCCTAACAGGAGATAGGGTCGTTAACACATTGCTGACCGGTCACGAGTTAACTCGCGTTTTCGTGGCCAAACGTTGGTGACCGGTCGCGAGTTAACTCGTGTTTTCGTTAGCAGTGATCTCGTGGTGACTATTTAGAAAAGTGGGCGTAATATTCCTTATTTCTCAAGTTTTACTATTTAATTCTATACCAATTTATTATAACTTTACGAAACTCCATATATTTGCAAAACTTGTGTACCATTACAGATAGGGGGAATGTTAACTTTTTATCATACGGCATTAAAAATGTTTACAGTTTATTTATATTGTTTTACTTCCACATCCGCTTTCAGAACAATAGCCGGACACATGGGGTAATTTTCAGAAAAGTTGCCGGTCAGCAATGTGTTAAATGCCGTTGGATTGGAAAATTGCGGAAAATCATATTTTTTTTCTGAGTATGTCATGTCAGCATATCAACCAAATAAATTAAATTTTTTCGTTGATTGCAATAAACACTAAATTTCTAGTTATTGCAAAATACGAGTTCAGATTTTTACCATTCAAATGCATAAATGCGCTATACTTTAAAATTTGAGTACAGATCTATGAAAGATTATGCTAAAGATAAATCTCTTGAAAAATATCTGTCTGAAAAACATTTAAATGATTAATTTACTGAATCTTAATTCTGAAATGTCAATCTAAAATGAATGCGAGTTACGATACTTGGTACAGATGATGCACAATCAGATAAATCTGTCCATCATTAAACCATAAAATCAGTTCATTGAACTAAAATTAATCGTTTGTAAATTGGTTGTAACCTTAAAAAAGTGTTAAATTAAACCATATTTCCATTACAGATAAACCATAGTATTGTGTAATGTTAAAGAGTTCGGGATATGCAATTAAATACTACAGTGTGCAAAAAAATAAACGGGCCAATTAAAAAGCTGATGTCAATTAATATCAATTAAAAAATAAATGCGAGAGTTATACTTGCTACATATGATATATTTTCAGAAGCATTTGCTCAACGTTGAACCATAAAACCACTACAACTTAAACTTAAATATGGTGAAAATAGGTTGTAACCTTAAAAAGATGTTAAAGGGAACAATATTTCCATTTCAGGAAAACCATAGTATTGTGTAAAGTTAACAATTTCAGGAAATGCTGTAAAACGATACAATATGCAAAAAAATAAACTCACCACCCTGAATAGCTTTTGATCTAATGATTTGATCTTCACTCTCTAGGACTCAATCTTAATGATTCAAAAATATGACCTCAGATATGCTAATTAAGTAGAGCAGATGATATTTTACGTCACAAAATCAGACACAAAAGCGTACTTTCTTTAAATAAAATTTTTTTTTTTTTGTGTGCTGGATTCGGATTTCGGTTCTTCAATATCTATATAGTCGTAATCTGGTAAACTGTAATCTGGTAGCCGTAATCTGGGGAAGCCGTAATCTGGTAAACATGGTTCAAGTAATTTTGTAAGGAGAGCGAGCGGTCCAAAGTTAGGATCCCTTAATGTTAATTTAATTTATTGCTTGATTTGCCATATCTCGAGAACTTTTATTTTTACACACAAATTTTTACACACAATTATAAAGTTTGTTTATTCAAAGATAATTGTATGCAAAAAGTAACTTTCAATAAATATTTTTTTTATTATTTTATTTAGTAATAGTCGAAAAAATTTTGAATTTTAAGGTATACAATTTTTTACATCATTTTAAAAATGATTATTTTCAAGGAAAACACGCAATTCGGAAAATAAATCGAATAGTTCCTGAGAAATCAAAGTTTAAAAAAGTCGTAGATTTTGAATTCGATTTCTCAGATTGAATGAGAGAAAGTAAGATCGTTTTTGTGTCTGATTTCTCATCTTAAAATATCGTCTGCAGTAATTAATTAGCATATTTAAGGTTGACTTTTCGAACCAATAAGATTGAGTCCTCTCATTAGATCAAAAGCTCTTCAAAATTCTCCGTTTATTTTTTTGCGCACTATACGATTTTATCGCCCTTCTCAAAGCTGTATACATTACCCGATACTATGGTTCATATATACTATGGTTAAAATTGAAACAATATGCATTTTTCAACGTAAAGATCAAATCATTAATTTAAAAGTTATTCAGTGGGATTTTTTCGCAATGTGCAAGATGGTTCCATATTATGTGCTACAGAAAATTAAATAAAATTTCGGCTATGTTCAATGCACTCCAAAAATTCCAACAATGAAGTTGTTTTTATACATTTATAACCAACCAACATTTATACCAACATTTATAAAAATGTTCCTCTTTTTCAGGTTTATCACTTATGCAGAGGCTCTGAAATGTCCACTTTAACATGCCCTGAGGGAGAAGCTTTCGATCACCACACAAGCGAGTGTAAAGAGCGAGCACTAGTTGATTGCGTCGAAACTGAGCATACCCATCATCATCGTCACAAGCGCTCCCATGATGAGCTCATTGTCCATTCCATTGATATTACGGAGCTCAAAGCTGAAATGAAAAAATTGTGTGAAGAAGTAAGATTCCTCATTCGATCAGCAGTCAAGGAAGTGGCCCCTACAATTTATTCCCAAATCGAAGCAAATTATGCACCAATGATCAAAAAATTCAAGACCGAAGTCATGCCATTCGTTAACGATAGAGTCATGCCACGATTGCACAAAGCCCACGCATATTTTGATCGAGTGGTTGGAAGGGTATTTGAAAAGGCATACAGATCTTACGAACTATCCAATTCAACTCATATTGCATTAGTTTCTTTCTCTGATTTAGCAAATGATATCGCTAAAGATTTGGAGCCTGTCTTGAAACTTGGAAAGTATTTGTCTTCAAGATTAGCACATGTGTAACTTTAATTAATGATTATAACTAATTTATTTTTCATCAAAGATGCATCATTTTATTCAATGTACTAGTCATTGCACACTGTGCATATGCATAAAATTTGTACATGTTTCATACAAAATAAAAATTTGCTTGTATGAAAATAATAGTATCTTATATCTTTACTTATTTTACAAAACTGTTATGAAATTTGAGACAATTATCTTTTTAATTTTTCTTCATTTAGCGATTTTGGAAAAGTTTTATTTACTTTCTCATTTTTATTTTGATCGCAACTCTATTAAATTTGTTTAGAACGTGAGCATTTAAATTTACGTCTTACATGGCAATTTACGCAGGATATGTCCTAATACTTATCTTTTATATATATTTTTGGAATTTTGTAAGTAAGCCAAAAATTATTCTCGTCAGGCCTAATTAGCGTCTGAAATGAAATGCGTAATGAAAAACCGCGAAGCTATCAAATTACGTCAATCATGATAAAGATTAATCGGAGCATAAGGAAATTTTAATTCTTCAATTGTTATTTTATATAATGATGGTGGTGAATTTGATGATGAAACTATTTCTAAGAGGAAAAGAAAAGGCATTTAAGTTCTTTTAAAAAATTATTAANAAGCGCTCCCACGATGAGCTCATTGTCCATTCCATTGATATTACAGAGCTCAAAGCTGAAATGAAAAAATTATGTGAAGAAGTAAGATTCCTCATTCGATCAGCAGTCAAAGAAGTGGCCCCTACGATTTATTCCCAAATCGAAGCAAATTATGCACCAATGATCAAAAAATTCAAGACCGAAGTCATGCCATTCGTTAACGATAGAGTCATGCCACGATTGCACAAAGCCCACGCATATTTTGATCGAGTGGTTGGAAGGGTATTTGAAAAGGCATACAGATCTTTCGAACTTTCCAATTCAACTCATATTGCATTAGTTTCTTTCTCTGATTTAGCGAATGACATCGCTAAAGATTTGGAGCCTGTTTTGAAACTTGGAAAGTATTTGTCTTCAAGATTAGCACATGTGTAATTTTAATTAATGAATATAATTAAGTTATTTATTTTTCATCAAAGATGCATCATTTTATTCAATGTACATGTTTCATACAAAATAAAGATTTGCTTGTATGAAAATAATAGTATCTTGCTTCCTTACTGATTTTACGAAACTGTTATGAAATTAGAGATAATTTTCATTTTAATTTTTCTTCATTTTACGATTTTGGAAAAGTTTTATTTACTTTTTCTTTTCATTTTTATTTTGATTGTAACTCTATTAAATTTGTTCAGAGCGTGAGCATGTAAATTTAACCTCTTATATGACAATTTACACAGGATATTTCATAATAGTAATCCTTTATATATTTATATAATGATGGTAGTGAATTTGATGATGAAACTATTTCTGAGAGGAAAAGAAGAGGCATTCCAGTTATTTAAAAAAATATTAATTAATTCGTGAATACATTCAAATCCCATTAAGTTATTTTAAACACCACTTTTCTCTAATCAGAGCAGATAATGACTGGTCAGTTAAGTAAAAATTTTTCCCTTCGTTTAAAAAATAATTGACATTTCCTCAAATGCTAAGATTTTTTTTTTTTATAAAGATTTAAATTTATATACATATTTATACAAATGAAAAAAAAATCTAAAATATATTGCCAAAAGAGAAAAAAATACTGCTGTTTTAGCATTCATGTTACATGATATCTTCCTCTAGATCAAAAATTTTGTTTGGAATTATAATAACCAAAAAATATTTTCATCTTTTTTATTTTACTAGCATGCAAGGCCTCAAAACCAGGAAAACAAAACACAGACATCAGGCTTCTAAAAAAGGATATTATTTAATAAACTTTATCAATGTAAAAAAAATAAAATATGAGTGTTTTCGAAAAATATTGATCAGCTAAAGAGTTTTATCAATACCAGTTACTGGTATAGATAATATCTTCATCAATACCAGTATTATCTATACCAGTAACCAGTATTGATCAACTGAAGAGCTTTATCTATACCTAACTATATCTATACCAGTGACAGGAAGCTGTTTCAGGAATTAAAAAACCTTAGCACAAAGTATCAGAGTTCTTTCTGAAAAGTTATTGTCTTTCTTATACTAAATTTGAAAAAAGGAAGTAATTATCTTATAAGATCAAGTAACATTAAAAAACGAAAATTCGCACAAAAATTTTATTTTTAAATACTCAAATTTAGAAATAAAATAATTTAACTTTTTGCTGCAGTGTAAAATAAAATTTAAAATTCTAAAAAAAAAATTTCACTTTATTCATTTCTATACTATTGGTACTAAGGTGAGCTAAATAAGTATTTTAAGTTATTTATAAAATCATTGAAAAACTTTCTGTCAGTACTAGATATGCATTCTACAACGAATAAAATGCCGTTTTTAAGCAAACACACTATTTCAAAAATTTTTTTTTTTATTACTATTGGTTACATTTCATTAACTTGATTACCTAGTAATTTTATTTTTTCTTTCGACAAAAAATGAATTTTCTGAAGGAAATGTAAAAAAAAATTCTTGCGAGCATAAAATATTACAAAAACGATCTCATATGTCTTTAAAAAATTTTAATTCTCTGATGAAAAATAAACTTTTATCTATAGTTATTCATATTATAGTTAAGAAGAAGAGTAGTAAATATGCAATTTTTCTAAACGTTACAACTTAATAAAAACTAACAACACTCTAACTAAATATTTCATGATTTTTATCCCAAATAAACAATACTAATGAATCAGCAGTCATTTTCCAAGAAAGTAATAAATAAGCAAAGTTATTAATCTCTTCCAAACTAAAATGACAAGCTGGCTTAATAAAAGACATCAATCAATAACCATAATGGTTAATTAATGATGTCCTAAAAGTTTATCCAATACAAAGGAAGGATGCGTTTTAAATTCTGTTTTGGTTCAGTGAGTTCTTGAAATATGACATGGTTTGTTGCAATTAAAAATGTTTCATATTAATTTATCAAAAAGAACGAAAAATATGAACCATCATATAGTTTTAACCATCATTCTGTTTTGTATTACAAATAACTAATAAAAATATAATTTATTTTTTCTTTATTTCTTAACATGGTGATAATTGCACAGTATACTTAAATTTGCATTCTTTCATTAGATACGTTTGAAGCATTTAAGTAGGTAATAAAAATTTGAAAAAGTACGAAAACGGGAGTCTGCTTTACTGGGCCAAACGAAAACAATATCACATCTCGTGCTCCAGAAAATTAAACCAAATATTGTTGTGAATTTAATCGGCTTGAAAAAGGTGAAGAAATCAGTAAGTGACCTCAGAGTCACTTAGTGATCTGAGATCACTTATCGGAAAAAAGAAAACTCTGGAATCGAAAACCATGGTAATGATGGTAATGCGTTAATAAGCTTTTGAAGGTAAAATAATTTTAAATTTGTTATTTGGAATTTTAGTTTCATAAATTATTTTTGTTAAATTTATTTCAAATCCAAAAGAGCAAACTGTAGCTAACCACTGGTGAATTACCCAACTTCTGGTCCAATGTTATTTTTACATGAAATTTTATATCATGGTATTTTGCTTCACAATATTTTGTTTCCGAATTTTCTTTTCTTTCAAGTTAGTTCCATTTCATGATATTTTATTCAAGTAAATTCTATCTCAAAATATATAAATAATATAAGTGTGATACTCAGTATGGTGTGATACTCAATTTTATATTGTTTTGCGAAATTGTGCTTCACAAAATCTTTGCTGGATTTTCTGTCTTATATGTATTGATCAGATAATCCATCATATTATCCAGAGATAAAAAATTTCCAGTATCATTACCGTACTGTATGGAAAGGACATTTTTGGCAATTGAAACCGTAATTATAGATCAAAGTAAAGAAAGAAATCTTAAAGTAAATCAATAAAATCAAAATATATGATATTAAAAGCCTTTCATTTAGTAATTTTTCTATTCATATCGCAACGGTTTACCGGAAACTCCGGTTTTCAAAATTACAGTTGTTATTACCTCACGTATAGTAAAAAATATGAAATTAAAATGTAAATTCAACATACAATTATATAAATGGTTTTTATGTCATTGTATAATTCTTACATTGTTATCAAATACTTTATTTTATAACCATCGTTGAACAGCCGACTCAATTTTAGATTTAAAACTTCTAATGTTCAACACCGTAGCCTTGTAATTTTGTACCCAATCCGGAAGACAAGGAAAATCTTGAATCAAGTATTGGGAGAAGTTTGCTTCGTGAAGGACTTTTCGATGAAACTAACCGTTACATGTAGAGGAAAACCACGAAAGCCTCCCATGGTTAGCCTGACAACAAGGGGGACTCTAACCCATATTCCGTCTACCACAGAGTATATTTTTTACGTCAGCACTGTGGTCGGTGTGAGCTGGGTGCGGAATTCATGCGGAGTTTTGACTATACATTTCCTTCAATGTACCAAAGCTGCTTGCTCTCAGTTCACCATGCCTCCCAAGTTTAATTGTATTAATTTTTCTTCGACTCTATTATTTTCCATTGTTTCACGATTTGCAGAAACAAATTTGAGAAACATCACTTTAGGATTTCCAATGAAGGATGTCATTGATAAATCACACTGCGGTAAATACAGTCGACGATCGATATAATGAACCCTGTGGTCCAAACAAAAGAGGACGTTATGACGTGAGATCGCTATATCGTAAAGACACAAAACTAGAGCAAATATTTTCTTATATTTCATAAATGAATGACTCTTTTTGAGAAAAACATGTTATACATTGAAAAGAATTATGAAGCTGATAGAATATTTACATCAACGAAGTTTTTTTATGTCAATAAAATGCAAGTACGAATTAATGTAACGCATTAAAGAATATAAATTTCTTAGTGTGTTAATGTGTAATTTCTTCAATGTCTTAAGGAATAAAAATGGATTTTTTTTCATATGAAACATTTTAATAATACGAGTAATTTTTGAAACACACTCAGCATTCTTTCTTCTACATTTCGAAATTTTCTTTTTTTAGAACAATGGCGTGAATTTGGAACACATTGTTCTCACGTCTTCTGAACTAGATTACAATTTTAAATACTGTAAACAAAGTGCTCTCTAGAATTGTGAATTTTT